CAACTTTCTCAACTTTGGAATCAACCTAGTGAATCTCCTTTGCACTCCCTCCATTGCCAATACATCCCTTCTCAAGTAAGGAGAACAAAACTGTACACAGTACTCCAGGTGTGGCTTTATCAGCACCCTAAAGAGCTGCAGCATAACCTTTGTTTCTAAACTCCATCCCTATAGCAATGAAGGGCATTCATTTGCCTTAATTACTTGCTGCACCAGCATACCAACTTTTTGATTCATGCAGCATTTTTCACCATTTAAATAATACTCCATTTTGCTGTTATTCCTACCAAAATGGATGACCTGACATTTACCAACATTGTAGTCCATCTTCCAGACCCTTACCCACTCACTTAACCTATCTATATGCCCCTACAGACTTTCAGCACCATCTACACATTTTGCTCGACCACGTATCTTAGTGTCATCTGCAAACTATCACACTACACTTGGTTCCCAACTCCAAATCATCAATGTAAATTGTAAACGATTGTAATCCGAGATCACTGATCTGAGACACACCATTAGCCACTGATCACCACCCAGAAAAACACCCATTTATCCCCACCCTTTGCTGGCTGGCAAGCAAATTTGTTAGTTAACAAATCCCCTATCCATGCCAATACATTAACCGTAACGCCATGCACCTTTATCTTATGCATGGAAATCTAGATACACCACATCCACTGGTTCCCTGTTGTCCACGGCCCTCAAAGTTCTCAAAGCATTCCAGTAAGTTAGTTAAACATGACCTGCCTTTCATGAACCCATGCTACATCTGCCCAATGGGACAATTTATTTTCAAGTCAGGATAGTGAGTGACTCGGAGGGGAACTTGCAGGTGGTGATGTTCCCATGTATTTGCTGCTCATGACCTTCTAGGTGGAAATGGTTATGGGTTTGGAATTTGCTGTCTAAGGATCTTTTGGTGAATGTCTGCATTGCACCTTGTCAATAGTACACTATGCTACTGAATGACAGTGAATTAATGGATGCTTGTGGATCTGGTACCAATCAATCTCCGTGAGTGTTGTTGGAACTGATCCCTGGCATTTGTGTGGCATTACCATTACTTGCCACTTGTCAGCCCAAGCCTAGTTATTGTCCGGATTTTGTTGCAGTTGAACTGCTTCAATTTCTAATGAGTTGTGAACATGCTGAACAATGTGCAATCATCTGTGAACATCCCCACTTTTGACATTGTGATGGGCTGATGATACTACCCGAGGAACTCCTGCAGTGTCCCGGAGCGGAGATGACTGATCTTCAACAACCATAACCATCTTAATTTGTGCCAAGTATGACTCCAACCAGCAGAGAGTTTGCCCCCGATACCCACTGATTCCAGTTTTGCTACGATTCTTTGATTCCACACACGGTCAAATGCAGCCTGGACGTCAAGGGCTGTCACTCTCACCTCACCTCTTTTGTCCATGTTTGAATCAAGGTTGTAATGGAGGTCAGGAGCTGTATGGCTCTGGCGGAATTCAAACTGGGCGTCACTGAGCAGGTGCTGCTTGATAGTACTATTGATGACACCTTCCCTCACTTTACTGATGATCGAAAGTAGACAGATGGGGTGTAATCATTTTCTGAAGGGTCTAGGCCCGAAACGTCAGCTTTCCTGCTCCTCTGATGCTGCTTGGCCTGCTGTGTTCATCCAGCTCTACACCTTGTTATCTCTGGGGTGTAACTGGTTTGGATGAATGTCTCCTTTTTTGTGCACAGGACATACCTGGGCAATTTTCCACATTGTCAGGTAGATGCCCGTGTTGTAATTGTACTGGAAGAGCTTGGCTACAGGAGGAGCACGTCTTCAGCACAAGTCTTCAGTATTATTGCTGCAATCTTGGCAGGGCCCAGGTCTTTGGAACAAAAACAGAAGTTGCTGGAAAAGCTCAACAGGTCTGGCAGCATCTGTGAAGAAAAATCAGATTTAACGTTTCGGGTCTGATGACCCTTCCTCGGAAAATGTTGGTATATATGCAGAAGATTGGGGGGGGTGGGGAAGAGGGAGAGGAAAGGGAGTAAGAAGTAAACAATAGGTCGGGATAGAGCCCAAAGAGAGAGAAGAACAGCTGGTTAGACAAAGGAGTTGATAACAATCTGGCTAGGAGGATGAATGGCTGTTAATGGAGACCATGCCTTTGGAGTCCATTGGAGTGAATCAAATTGGCTGAAGACAGTATTATCTGTTGCTGGGGACAACTAAATAATGAGTACCAGAATTTGGATACCACCAAACCCAGTCACAAGAAACAATGGATTAAATGACATTCATATGGTTCAGTTTCTTAAAACATTTAACGGCATGTAACCAGAAGTATAAAGAGATTCTAGAAAACAATAAAATTCATACATAGAATCTATGGGTCCTATGGTTATAAGACACAACTTTATTTTGAACAAAAATATATTAAATAGACAGAATCTGAGCCCTATAACACATTGCAATTTGGGATTATTTTGAGATACAAAATATGCAGCATAACTCTGTAAATTACTTTTAAGAAAAAATGTCATCTAACAAAGGTCAAAATCAAATGTTTGATTTTTCTGCTTTAGGTGTATTATATCATTAATCTAGAAGATTGTAAAATTTCTCCTGAACGACAGGGTAGTAACTCGTGAGATATGTTAAATTGTATGAGAGTAGAGTTGCAGAGTGTCTTTTACTTCGCTAGGAATCAAAACAAGCTGCTGGATTTCTCTCCACAGATGCTGCCAGACATGTGGAGCTTTGAGCAATTTCTGTTTTTGTTTCTGATTGACAGCATCTGCACTTCTTTTGGTTTTTATTTTGCTGGAATTGACTCCCTGAATAAGGAGTAGTCAACGATGTGAGAGTAGAGATCAGGAATGAAACTGCTCAGGTGTCTCAGAACCTGCTTCTTGGATAATTAAAGAGACTGCAGTTCACCGCTCAGGGACTGAATGGGCACTTATGGTTATACAGGTCTACAGAAAGGTACACTGGAAAGATTGAAGCTACTATCCTAGACCGTCAATAATGCAATTTCACAGTCTAAGAGAAGGGCATGCCATATGCTGGGGCTTCCTCCCCAGATTAGTCTCACCGCCCCTTATTCCTCCAACTCCACATACCCCAAGGACACATCGATTCCATTCCCCCATTCAACACTCCCATCCTTCCCACCCATGCAAGGGCCCACTCACCTCTACATCCTTCATCTAGAATTCTCTCCCAAACCCCTCCCTAAGCACCCACCTTTCATCATCATGATCACAGAATCCCTACAGTGTGGAAACAGGCCCTTCGGCCCAACAAGTCCACACCAGCCCTCAAGAGCATCCCACCCAGACCCACCCTCCCATAACCCCCCTAACCTACACATCCTCAGACAGAATGGGCAACTTAGCATGGCCAATCCACCTCGCCTGCAGATCTTTGGACTGTGGGCGGAAACCAGAGCACCCGGAGGAAACCCACGCAGACACGGAGAATGAGCAAACTCCACACAGACAGTTGCCTAAGGGTGGAATCGAACGCAGGTTCCTGGCGCTGTGAGGCAGCAGTGCTAACCACTGAGCCACCATGCCGCCCATCCCGTTCCTTCTCCCCTCATCCTCCTCTTCTCCATCCCTTTCAGACCCTCCCACATGCCTCTACTAGCTGTTCTGCTCACCTCCTTCATCTGCTTTCTCCTCTTAACCCTTATTTCCCTTCTCCCCCTTCTCCCAGTCCCTTTCATCCTGTCCCCCCCACTTCTCCTTTGCTCTCCCACCAAACCTCCATCTATTTATCTTCTTCCCCAAAGCTCCCACCCTACACAGCTCCTACCCTACATCCTGTCATCCCACACTCCCATTATCAAGGACACCAGAAGTTGAAAAGCTGTGCAAGCAAGTATTGTTTCAAAGATATTCAATAGTGGCATTGCAGGGAAAACAGGCTGATTAAGTGGGACCAGGAGCCAGTGTGGCCAACTCTGCAAAGCAAAACCAGGCTTGTCCAGTTTTTGAAGTAAAAAAGGTCCTTCGTTTCGATTGAGTATTTATAGTACAAGTTGTAAGGGTCCCTGGGGTTTTTGTTTACTTCGTCTAATGTGAAGAACGTTAAATAGAGTGTAATTGTGAGGTAAGTCAAGCCAGGTATGAAGTCAGGGACACCTCCACGTATGAGGAAAGTATATGCAACTGCAGCTACTGTAAATGTGCATTTTGGATTTGAGGCCGTGGCTGGTATTCACTGTGGAGTATCTGCAAGACGGAAATATACTTGGATAGCATACGCAGTGAGGTTGTCACTGCGCAGGCAAACAGTGCACGCGCAGAAAGGAAATCAGTGACTACCAGGCAGGCAATGGAGAAGTCTATTAGTGGTACCATTCTCTAACAGGTTTTCAGTTTTTGATACTGCTAGAGAAAATGGTTTCTCAGGGGAATACAGTGGCATGTTGGCAGCACCAGGAATGTTACCAGGGTCAAGGAAGTGCTTGAGCAATTGCAGGACATTCCAGGGGGGGAAAAGGTTGTGGTCAGTACCAATGACAAGTAAAGAGGGATGGGCTCCTGCGAACAGAACGCAAAATACAGGGAGCTAGGAGGTAAATTAAGAAGCGGTTCTTCAAAGGTCCCCAAACCCATCCTGCATCTTCAGCCCCTAATCTCCCAGACTTCTTCATCAACGCTCCCATTCCCCCAGATTCACTTTCCAGTGCCCCCTAACCGCCTCATCCCATACCGAGCCCCCTCCCCAGTTTCTCCCTACCTTGCTCCCTTTACCGTCGTCCCTAATCCAGTCCACACTACCCAGTTGATCTCCTTCCAAGTCCGGTTGCACCTCACCATCTCCAGAACCCCTCCTACCCTACCCGGGTCCTCCTCACCTTTTCTTTCCACCTCCCACCTCCGCACCACGTGTCGCACTCCCGCCACGCCGCCCGCTGCTTTTAACAGACCAGCCTTTCGCGCAGTGCGCTGATGCGTTGGGAGCTATCACGTGCCGTGTCCCCGGATGTCCTGGGCCCCGCCCCTCAGGTGAGCGCGCAGCTGCAGCTCGAGCGATTGCTGAAGGGGAGTGTCCTCGAGCCAGGGAACGAGTTCCAGCTAGCCCGCCCGGTGTTAACACCATGAACAACAAGTTCGATGCGTGAGTCATTGGTTTCCCTTCCTCCATCTCTCACACAAACATTTCTCCTTAATCTTATCTTGGCATTAGCGGCCTGTTCCCGGGACGTTTATTCATCTTTTTTCAAGATCTTTCAAATTATCGCCTGCAGGGCCGCATTCGTTTTAGGGCTGTGGGACCTCCTGTGTGGTTCAGTGATTCCGATATCTAACCGAATGCTAAGAGGCTGTTCTGAAATAACCAACCCTGAAATATCAAACGCTTACGTTAGTCACCCTGTACGAGCACTTTTATACGAAATCAACATATTAACACCTTCAACGTTTTGAAATTGATACAGTTCTTCGATTGATTTCTCGTTTTGTTTTGTCAGTCGGTTTGGCATAATTTGGAAGGACATTGTGCACTTAGGGGTTGATGTTGCCGAAGATCTGAGTACGGTATAGATGCTTTAAAGCAAGACGCAATAGAGGTCCATAGCGGCTTTTTGGTTCTAGTACATAGATCATTACATTTCATGAACGAATACAGTGAACGATCCAAAAGGCTAATGGAATATCGCCATTATATTTATACCTAGGTGGCTAGAAAACGAGGTGATAGAAGCCATTTTTCAACCATACAAAGCATTCGGTAATATATACCGGGAGGCTTTAGTAGTCCTGGGTACTGGATTGGTCATGGAGCAAGTGCAACGTAGATTTACTGGAATTACATAAAAATAAAACACTGCGGAGGCTGCAAATCTGAAACAAGCACTGAGAATGTAGGAGAAAATCAGCAGGTCTGGCAGCATTTGTGGAGAAACGTCTCGAGTCGGTATGGCTTCTTCAGAGTCTAAATGCTAAGCTTCGGGAGGGATTAAACAAGTTCCAGTTTTAGCTGGTGGAGTTTAAAATATTTAATAGTCATTTAATCAAAGCTTACAGATATTAAAAGGAATGACTAGGGATGTATTTTAATGAGAGACTGGAGTTGAACGTTAGGTTAGAAGACAGTCTAAAATTTTAAACTGGGTCATTCATGAATCAAATTAGGGAACACTGACATTTAAACGATGGGAGAAGTTTGGAATTAACTTCTGTACATATCAATTGAAGTTAGCTAAATTAAGTTTAAAATTGAGTTGATATGTTTTTATTAAACATTTCAAAAATCACTGGAGTTTTGTGCTAATATTTACCTCATTCCATATCACTAGAAACAGATTATTCCATCGCTGTTCATGGGAATTTGCTGTGTGGAAATTAGGTCACATTTCTTACATTACAACAGTGACTATACTTCACAAGTAATTAATTTGCTGTTAAGTATTTTGAAATTGAATGGATGGAGAAGTGGCAGATGAAATTTAATGCAGAGAAGTGTGAAGTGATTTGTTTTGATTGAAATCCTTAGGATTTCAATATGAAATGAAGGGTGCAAGAGCAGGGAGACTTGAGTGTATATGTGCATAAATCTGTCATGGTGGCAGGACAGGTTTAGAATACAGTTAATAAAATATACAGCACTCTAACCTTTGTCAATGGGGGCATAGAGTATAAAAGCAAGTAAGGTTTTTGAGTTTGTGTGAAACATTGATTGGATCTCAACTGATTTATTATGTCCAGATCTGAATACCACACTATAGGAAGGAAGTGAAAGTAGTCAAGGCAGTGCAGAAAAGATTCATTAGAATGTGTTGAGGAAATTCAGTTGTGCACACAGATTGCACAAGTTGGGACTGTTTCCTTGGACAAGAGAAGTTGAAAGGAGATTGATAGAGGTATACGGGCATGAGGAATCTGGACAGTAGGTAGGGAAAACTATTCCCAATGGTAAAAGAATTGCAAAACAGATGCTGCAAATTTAAAGTAATTGGTAAAAGAAGCACTGGCTACTCAAGGAAAATGATTTTCCTGCAAGGACTAATTAGGATCTGGAATGCATGCTTGAGGTTGTGGTGGAATCTGGACTAATCAAGGCATTCAAGGGTGAATTTACTTTAATGGAGAATATGTTCCCACTCATAAATTAATAAAGATTGAGAGAGCACAGATTTCAAATGACTTGCAAATGTGATGTGAGAAGAAATTTATTTAGCAAGGGATTTTTTTCTGGAATGTGAAGCATGCACTGAAAGTATAATGGAGTCCAGATCAACTGAGGCACTTGAGGACAGTAGATGTTTATTTAAATAGACGTAACATGCAGGATTGTGGTGTGGTGGCTGGAGAATGGCACCAAGTCATGAGCTCCCCTGAGAACCAGTATAGATATGAAGGACAAAAACAAAGTTGCTGGAAAAGCCCAGCAGGTCTGGCAGAACTGGTTCTGAGGAAGGGTCACCGGACCTGAAATGTTAACTCTCTTTTTCCTTCACAGATGCTGCCAGACCTGCTGGGCTTTTCCAGCAACTTTATTTTTGTTCCTGATTTACAGCATCCGCAGTGCTTTTGGTTTTTAGTTAGATATGAAAGACCATCTTCTGCAGCATAACAATTCTATGATTCTATAGTCTAAACCTTCAGTCAGATCTTCTCTTGGCCTGTGTTAGAACATAGAACAGTACAGCACAGTACAGGCCCTTCGGCCCACAGTGTTGTGCCGAACTTTTACCCTAATCCTAAGGTCTATCTAACCTCCACCCCTACCTTATACTATTATCCATATGCCTATCTAATAGGCACTTAAATGCCCCTAATGAGGCCGACTCCACTACCCTCTCCGGCAATGCATTCCACGCCCCTACCACTCTCTGAGTAAAGAACCTACCTCTGATGTTTCCCCTTTATCTACCTCCACTCACTTTAAAACTATGCCCCCTCGTAATAGCTACCTCCACCCTAGGAAAAAGTCTCTGGCTGTCGACTCTATCTATACCTCTGATCATTTTGTACACCTCTATCAAGTCACCTCTCATCCTTCATCGTTCTAAAGAGAAAAGCACTAGCTCTCTCAACCTTTCCTCGTAAGACCTTGCCTCCATTCTAGGCAACATCCTGGTAAATCTCCTCTGCACCTTTTCCAACGCCTCCACATCTTTCCTGTAATGAAGCAACCAGAACTGGACACAATACTCCAGATGTGGCCAAACCAGGCTTTTATACACCTGGAGCATAACTTCACGGCTCTTGAACTCAATCCCTCTATTAATGAAAGCTAACACACCATACACCGCCTTAACAACTCTATCTACCTGGGTGGCAGCTTTCAGGGAACTGTGAACATGAACCCCACGATCCCTCTGCTCCTCCACACTGCCAAGAATCTTTCTGTTAACCCTGTATTCTGCTTTCAAGTTTGTCCTTCCAAAATGAATCACCTCACACTTTTCAGGGTTAAACTCCATCTGCCACTTCTCAGCCCAGCTCCGCATCCTATCAATGTCCCTTTGTAACCTAGAAGAGCCCTCCGCACTGTCCACAACACGACTCACCTTCGTATCGTCCACGAATTTGCTAATCCACTCTTCTACTCCTTCATCCAAATCATTTACAAAAATCACAAATAGAAGAGGACCCAGGACCGATCCTTGTGGTACACCACTCGTAACTGAGCACCATGTTGAATATTTTCCGTCCACTACCACCCTTTGTCTTCTAAGGGTCAGCCAATTCTGAATCCAATCTGCCACATTTTCCCCCTATCCCATGCGTCCTTACCTTCTGCATGAGCCTACAATGGGGAACCTTATCAAAAGCCTTACTTAAATCCATGTATACCACATCCACTGCTCTACCTTCATCCATGTGTTTGGTCACCTCTTCAAAGAATTCAATAAGGTTTGTGAGGCATGATCTACCCCTCACAAATCCATGCTGACTATCACGAATCAAACTGTGCCTTTCCAAGTGATCATAAACCCTATCTTTCAGAGCCCCCTCCAATAATTTGCCCACCACTGATGTAAGACTAACTGGCCTGTAATTTCCGGGGTTATCCCTACTCCCTTTTTTGAACAAGGGAATGACTTTTGCCCCTCTCCAATCTTCCGGCACTATACCCGTGGAGAGTGAGGATGAAAAGATCATCGCCAAAGGCCCTATGATCTCTTCCCTCAGTTCCCATAGAATCCTTAGATAAATCCCATCAGGCCCAGGGGACTTATCTATCTTCAACTTCCTCAAAATTCCTAGCACATCTTCCTTACTAACATTGACCTCCTCTAGCCGACCAGCCTGTTTCACACTGTCCTCCTCTACAACTAGGTCCCTCTCAGTTGTGAATACTGAAGAAAAGTATTCATTAAGGACCTGTCCTATCTCTTTAGGTTCCGTGCACAAATTCCCTTTACAATCCTTGATCAGCCCTACCCTTTCTCTGGTGTTACTTTAATAATGAGAGCTTTGCATTCTTTAGTCTTTCCTCACAGAAAAAAAAACTTGTCTGATACATCCATTACATAGTCTTAACGTCTTTCTTTAAATTTAAGGTGACCAAGCCATGATGCCACATTCTAACTGTAAATTAACATAATTTTGTATAAAGTTTAGTATTACCTCCTTGATTTTGTACACTAACTTATTTATAAAATATAATTTGCACTGGTACCGAAGACATTAGTAGGACTAGAAGAAGGTTTTTGTGAAAAACTCTGAAGAGATAAGAGCAAAGTTAAAGAACACGACCTCTAAGGTAATAATCTCTGGGTTACTACCCGAGCCACAGACAAGTTAGCATAAGCCAAATAAAGTCAAGCAGTTAAATGCATGACTCAAATGTTGGTCAAGGTAGAATGGCTTCAATTCATGGGGCGCTGGAATTGGAGTAGAAGGAAACTGTTCTAATGGGATGGGCTTCACTTGAACTATGTTGGGACCAGTGTCCTGGCAAATTAAATAAGTAGGGCTGTAGAGAGGACTTTAAACTAACTAGAGTTTGGCTGACATAAAGTGTAGGCTTACAAAACAAGAGGATATGGCAGCATTACAGGTCAGCTGTTTGGATGATGATATCCAGCGTGGGACAAGAAGGTACAGAGTATACATGTAAAGAAACAGTAAATAAGGTCAAAAGAGGAAAAAAATAAATAAAGTGACATTAAAGGCTCTTTACTTGAATGTGCATAGTAATTGGAATAAATAGATGAATTGACCACACAAATACATGTTAATGGGTAGATCTTCTAGCCATAATGGAATCATTGTTACATAGAGTTGAAACCTGGGAGCTAAGTATTCAGCGATACACGACTTTTCAAAAGGACAGGCAGGAAGGAAAGGGTTGTAGGGTAGCATTGTTGATACTAGATGGAATAAGTATGATAGTAAGAAATGATCTTGAATTGGAAGATGTTGTATCCATGTGAGTGGACATGAAAAAAATGAAAAAGAAGACACTTGTAGGAGTAGTCCAAATGCTCCCTCTTAGTAGCAATATGGTGGGACAGAGAATAAATCAGGCAATAGAGTCCATGTAACAAAGGCAATACGTTAATCATGAATGACTAGTCAGATCGGCAGAAGCAGCAATAAGGAAGTGTTCATAGAATATATGCAGGATAGTTTCCTAGAACAATATGTTGCAGATCCAACCAGAGATGAGGCTACTTTGGGTCTGGTAATATGTAGTGAGGCAGGTTTAATAAGTGAGGTCAGACCAACCAAAAGATTCCCTTGGAAACAGTGACTGTAAAGTGGTAGAATTTAGTATTCAGTTTGAGAGAGAGGAACTTGGTTTGGAAACAATTATACTAAAATTAAGTAAGGGTAATTACAAAGGAGTTTAGGCAGAGGTATCTGGAGTAGATTGGGAAAGGAGTTTAACAGCAAAGATGGTTGCAGAATAATGGGAGACGTTTAAGAAATTTGTTAATGCTCACAGCGAAGACAAATTCCAGTGAGGGAAAGGATTCCAGGAGAGAGATAAGCAAGCCATAATTAATCAAGGAAATTAAGGATTGCATCAGATTGAAAGAAAAGAAAACATACAGTGTGGCAAAGATTAGTGGTAAGCTAAACGTTTCGAAACATAATAAATTGGACAAAATAAACTTGGAGTGCAAATTTGCTCATAATATCAAAACAGACAGCAAGAGCTTCTTTAAATATAGAAAAAGAAAAAGAGAAGCCAAACACAGCATAGGTCCATTAAAGGGTGAGGCTGTGGGGAAAAAAAAGGGAAACAAGCAAATAGTAGAAGACACTAAACGCATTCCAAAATTACTAAATATTAGTGTCAATGAGCTTCATATGGTCAAGAAGAAGAGATCAAATCCAGAGTGAGACAGCCTAAGTGAGTATATAATTCAGAGAATTTGGAGGCAACATGGGATTACAGTGCAAGGGAAAAAGTGGTGCTTTTTGTTTGTTTCTTTTGGATCATAGTTTAAGGTTTTTTTTCTAACAGGATAAATTGAACTCCAAGATCAGGGGCCCAGCACAAAAGAGTAACATCACAAGTAAACCATAAGTTCATTGGTTGGTGATAGCTACTAATTTGACTATCTATTATAGGTTATCTTCAGATTGAAAGTAAATAGGGGAAATCTTTACAGGCTACAAACTAAAAGACCAGAGTAACATTTTTAAAATCAATTTAGAAACTAAGTGGTTGAAATAGAGATGCTAGGCCAGACAATGTGTTGTAACTGCATAATGCAATAAAGCAGAGTCAGTATGGCTTCATGAAGGGGAACTTACGCCTGACAAATTTACTGGAATTCTTTGAAGAAGTAACAAGCAGGAGAGATTTAAGGGAAGTGGTGGATTTGGATTTGCAGAAGGTATTTGATAAGATACCACACATTGGGCTACTTAATAAGAGGAAGAAGCCATTATGTTGGAGGCACTATATTAACATGGATAGGGGATTGGCTAACTAATAAAAGATAGAGAGTTGGGTTAAGCGTGTGGGGCGCACTTTCAGGCTGGCAACCTCTAACTAATGGTGTGCCACATGGATCAGTGCTGTGGCTGCAAGATTAATGACTTGGTTGTAGAAATTGACTGTACAACATTGAATGAAATTGAATGTATGGGGATGACACAAAAAGTAGGTGAGAAGGCACATGGTGAGGATGGCACAGAATCTGTAGAGGAATATAGACAGATTAATTGATTGGGAAAAAAGCTCAGCTGATGGAATATAATGTGGGTACATTGGCAGGAAGCATTGAGGGAGGGAGTATCATTTATATGGAGAAAAACTGCATGAAACTGCAACAGAGGGATTCAGGAGTCCTCGACCATGAATCTCAAAATGCTCAGATTGAAATTCCTCAGGTAATAGGGAAGACAGTTGGAATGTTGGCCTTTATTTCAAAGGGAATGGAGTGTAGAAGTGTAAAACTAAATAAAACTTTTCAAAGCACTAATGAAACCATATTTGGAATACTGCGAACAGTTTCAGGCCCCTTATCTGAGGAAAGATATATTGGCATTGGAAGCAGTCCAGAGAAGATTCACTAGACTGATACTTTGAGGAGAGTTTGAGGGGATTGGGGCTCACTGGAATATAGAAAGAGAGGCAACAGTATTGAAACAAACAAGATTCTTAGGGGACTTGACAGGGTAGATGCAGAAAGGCTGTTTGCCCTTGTGGGAGAGTCTAGGACCAGAGACCATAATCTCACATAATGGGTCACTCATTTGAGACAGAAAGGAGGAATTTCTTCTCTGTGGATAATGAATCTTTAGAATATCTTACTGCAGAGCGCTGTTGAAGCTGTGCCGTTATGTATTTTAAAAGCTGAGGTAAGTAGATTTTATTTGGTAAGAGAATCAAGGGTTGTAGGGAAAAGGCAAGAAAGTGAAATTGAGGATTATTAGATCAGTTATAATTTCTTTGAATGATGAAGCAGATTTGATGGGCAGCATGGCCTGCTTATCCCTACATCTTATGGTCTACTGGGCTTTATCAGCTTGCCATTGCATAAATACTTAAAAGTGCCTGTCAAGCCCTAAATTTCTGTGACCCCCCTACTCCTTTCAAGGTTTTACCATGTAACCTTTCTCCCATAGTGGGTCACCTCATGTTGCAATAAATTTCACCTGTTGTCTATCTGGCCATATATTAATTTTTTTAATCCTCTTGATGTTGCCAGCAGTCAACTAATTAACCATGGCTTCTTGGATCATACTGTGTTTTTTTAAAACAAAGAAGATTATCTCAGAAAACAATGGGATCTTGATCAGATAGGCCAGTGGGCTGAGGAGTGGCAGATGGAGTTTAATTTAGATAAATGTGAGGTGTTGCCTTTTGATAAGGCAAACCAGGGCAGGACTTGTACAGTTAATGGTAGGCCCTGAGGAGTGTTGCTGAACAAAGAGACCTAGGGGTGCAAGTGCATAGTTCCTTGAAAGTGGAGTTGCAGTAAGATAGGGTGGTGAAGAAGGTGTTTGGCACACTTTCCTTCATTGGTCATAACAATGAATATAGGAGTTGGGATGTCATGTTGCAGCTGCACAGGATATTGGTGAGGCCACTTTTGGAATACTGTGTAGATTTCTGGTCACCCTTCTTTAGGAAGGATGCTGTTAAACTTGAGAGGGTGCAGAAAAGATTTACAAGGATGTTGGTGGGATTGGATGGATTTGAGCTACAGGGAGAGGCTGAATAGGTTGAGGCTTTTTTCTCTGGAGCGTTGGAGACTGAGGGGATAATCTTATAGAGGTTTATAAATTCATGAGGGGCATGGATAGGGTGAATAGCTAAGGTCTTTTTCCTAGGGTGGAGAAGTCCAAAACTATAGGACAGAGGTTTAAGTTGAGAGAGGAATGATTTAAAAAGGACCTGAGAGGTAGCTTTTCCACGCAGAGGGTGGCATGTGTATGGAATGAGCTGCCAGAGAAAGTGGTAGAGGGATAAATTTGTAACATTTAAAAGACATCTGGATGGTATATTATTAGGAAGGGTTTAGAGGGATATGGGCAGAATGCTGGCAAATGGGGCTAGGTCAGATTGGGATGAGTTGGACCAAAGGCTCCATTTCTATGCTGACATTGACCTCTTGCATCTGAAACAATCCATTATTATTTGTTGGTCTTTATTAAGGGGCTTTATTAATTGGGTTTGATTCCACCTTTGGGCTACTGTCTGTGTGGAGTTTGCACATTCTCCCTGTGACAGTATGGGTTTCTGCCAGGTGCTCTGGTTTCCCCCCCCACAGTCCAAAGATATGCAAATTAGGTGGATTGGCCGCGCTAAATTACCCATAGTGTTCAGGGAATGTAAAGGTTAGGTGGGTTAGCCACAAGAAATGCAGGGTTATATGGGCAGGGTGGGGGAATGGGTCTGGGTAGGATGCTCTTCAGAGAATCAGTGTGGACTCATTGGGCCAAATGGCCTGTTTCCTCACTGTAGGGATTCTATGTTGTATAAAAATATGTGCAATTGTTTTATCAGGTGGACTGGTTAATGTGGCATTTGTGCAGTATGCTTGCAGCATTATATGCCAGACAATTTTGTGAGTAAATACAGGTATGCAACAAATTTAGTACAACTATTACTGATTTTGTAGAATAGAAATAGATTTTTAAATGTTATTGTTAAATAACTGGAGAATTGTCACAAACTGTTTTTTCATTTTGTAGTTTAAAGGATGATGACAGTGGTGATCAAGATCAAAATGAGGACACCCACACACAGAAAGAGAGTGAGAAGGAAAAGATGGACAAGGAAAAGACACAAAATAGTACCAAACGAAAGGTAAGAACATCGAGGCACGCACTGCAGTAGAATGAACAGGTACACAAAATGAAGAAAGGCCACTGGACCTAATATGTTGACTTTGCTTTCTCTCCACAGATGCTGCCAAACCTGCTGAGTTTCTGCAGCAATTTCTGTTTTTGTTTCAGATTTTCAGCATCCATTCTTTGCTTATTTTTGTTTAGCCATACAAAATGTGTGGCTGGAGGAACAACCAGCTCACAGTCAGACTCTGCTGGATAACAGGACAAACAGCTAATCTGTGGTGGGTTCACACAGAGTTCTACTTGCCTAATTACGACTGAGAGGCAGTGAATTCTGACCAACTAACTATAGCCTGTAATGTGATACAGAGCAGGAGGGAAGCAATTGGATCAAGAAGCTTGGCACCATCCAGGACAAATCAGCTTGCTTGATGGGCATCACATCTATAACCATTCATTCGCTCCACCACTGACACTCAGTAGCAGCAGTGTGTGCTATCTCCATGATGCACTGCAAAAATTTACCAAAGATCCTCAGACAGCACCTTCCTAACCCATGACCATTTCCATCTAGAAGGACAAGGGTAGCAGATACATGGGGATACCACCCTGACTTGGAAATATATTGCTGGTCCTTCACTGTCACTGAGTCAAAACCCTGGAATTCCCTCTCTAAAGGAATTGTGGGTCAACCCACAGAAGGTGGACTGCAGAGGTTCAAAAAGGCACTGCCGTCTCAAGGGCAACTAGGGACGTCCCACAAATGAATAAAAAATTGGATCTTATTCTTGCAGTTTTTTTTATTTTTTGATTTTGTGGTATGTGGGTGTCGCTGGCTGACCAACATTTGTTGCTTATTCCTGGTTGTCCTTGAGAAGGTGGTGGTGAGCTGCCTTCTTGAACAGCATGCTGTCCACCTGCTGTGGGTTGACTCTCAATGCCATTAGGGAGGGAATTCCAGGACTTTGACCCAGCGATTGTAAAGGAACAGCAGTATATTTCCAACTCAGGTTGGTGAGTGGCTTGGAGGGGAACTTGAAGGTGGTGGTGTTCCCATGTATCTGCTGCCCTTGTCGATCTCGATGGAAATGGTTATATGTTTGGAAGGTGCTGTCTGAAGATCTTTGGTGAATTTCTGCAGTGCATCTTGTAGATAGTACACACTGCTGCTACTGGGCGTTGGTGGTGGAGGGAGTGAATGCTTGTGGATGCATTGCCAATAAAGTGGCTGCTTTGACCTGGGTGGTATCAAACTTCTTGAGTGGTGTTGGGGCTGCACTCATCCGGGCAACTGGGGAGTATTCCATCACACTCCTAACCTGCCCCTTGTAGATGGTGGACAGGCTTTGAGGAGTCAGGAGGTGAGTTACTCGCTGCAGTAATCCTAGCCTCTGACCTGCTGTTGTAGCCACTGCATTAATGTGATGAGTCCACTTGAGTTTCTGATCAATGATAACTCCCAGGATGTTGATAGTGGGTATTCAGTGATGGCAACACCATTGAATGTCAAGGGCCAGTCATCAGATCATCTCTTATTGATGATGGTCACAGCCTGGCATTTGTGTGGTGCGAATGTTATTTGCGATTTGTCAGACCAAGTCTAGATCTTGTCCAGATAACAAGGTGTAGAGCTGGATGAACACAGCAGACCAGGCAGCATCAGAGGAGCAGGAAAGCTGACGTTTCAGGTCTGGACCCTTCTTCAGAAAATG